CAACTCCCTCATTTCTTATCTCTTTAGTTTTTTTTTCTATTTGAATCTTTTCCACCATTTAATTTTATTTTTTTTCAATTTATGACAAACAGGAGAAAAAAAAGGAGGAAAATAACGATGCATTCATATAGAAATAATTAGTTCAATAAAAGATGACTTGATTAAGCAAATATGTACGAATATTGCAATTTTCTTTTGTGTGTACCCAAAATTCAAAATAAAAGAATAAAAACAATTATTTCTCTTATCTGCAGCCTCATCCCACCATAGAAATAGTACAAATTAAAAGAAGAGAAAATACATAATTACCCCATCAAACTTGTACCATTTTTTGAAGTAGACACCTAAAGTTTGCGGGGGTCCTATTACCCCATCCAACCATTTCCAACAATTTTAAATACACTATTTTTACAATATTTGCAATCTCATAATCCGTGCGTGTGTTTCACCCTCAAATAAAATTAATTATTTTTTTTTATTTTTTCTTACTTGTTTAATAGTGGTTGGGTAAAATCCTGACCCACTCACATTTTAACCCTTAAACCTTTTTAAAAAAATTCATGTTCATCTTTTCCAATTCCTTTTCCCAATTCTTTCGATCTACTTCACTTCAAAAGAATTTTTTTTTTCTGAATTTCTTTGTAAATATATATTTATGTAAGTTTTGTGTGTTATTTTTTAGTGTTTTGGCTGTTTATTTAGTGTTTGATTTTAATTTTTCCCCAAAAAATTAGTTTAATCCTTTTTAGTTTTGTGGGTATTCCTAAATCAAGACTAGCTTTGAGTTCTATAAGTGAATTTCACATTTTTTTGAATTTGTACAAGTAGATTCTTTGATACTTTTGATCTTGGGAAACTATATGAACGGAAATGGGTTCAAATTTCTTTGTTGAAAGGTAAATTAGGTGCTAAATTGACCAAGTATTATGTCGTTGTTCAGTAGATTTTTTCTAATAAAAGACCTTAAGATGGATTGCTAAAACTTTATGATAGAGTATACAGTAAAGAAATTCGCTTCGCATGGTAAAAAACCAATTTTTGCTGTTGAGAAAAGCTCTCAATAGTCATTAATGGTGGTTTGGGGAAGAAGAAACGTGGGACTCTTTTCACTTTGGTTTAACAATGCCATGTGTCAGTTTTCAATTGGTTTGGGGCTGCAATTTTACCCTTTCACGCGCTTTTGTAGTGTGAAATCACAATTGCCATGAAAATGGATCAAAATGACGTATTTATTGTGGATTTAAATGATTTCGTGGGGTAATAGGACCTCCGCAAACTTAAGGTGTCTTCTTCAAAAAAAGAGTCTAAGTTTGATGGGGTAATTATGTATTTTCTCTTAAAAGAATATATAAACATGTGAGTTCAATTCAAGTTTGAGTCCCGAATATGCTAATTAAGAATAAGAGATTTAAAAAGAGAGAATAAAAGAGAAAATGAACTTTGGATAATTGATAGAAAATTTTATATTAATAAAAATAATAATTTTTTTTAGATGGACAATCAGTCAGGGTGAATATGAATTTTAGTTGGATCCTCATTTATGACTTGAGTTCCATTATTATAAGTTGGGGGTTGATTAAAAATAGGCCAATAGGAAGATATCATGAAATTAATTATATTTTCAATATTATTTTCAAGTGTATCAGGTCAAAATATGAATCATATGTGGTTTAATAAAAAAATAAAATTTTAAAAATATGATTTTTATTATTTATTTGAGAAGAGTTTAAATTTGGACCAAACATTAAGCAACTTAATAAATAAATATTTAATAATTTTAGGGATAAGGGTCTGAAAAATACCCCAACTTTGGTCGAATTTACTATTGCGATACTAAACTTTCATGAGGACCTATTACCTCCCTAGACTATTTAATACTGTATTTTAAACC